CTCCGTCGACTAATTCGATCACGGACTTAAGATGCTCCTCAGCACGAACGGTTGTCCAGGTTGCGGGGTCATACCATTGGTTGCATAATACAACAAGCCTCTTGCTATGCCGCACCCGAGATTAGTGTTCTATAATATTCAGCTCACTATTGATTTCAATGACTGATAATCATGCTGTTACTCCTTATGTGAAAGGATAGGCTGAAGGGTTAGGAGGTAACAATAAAATGTGAGGAATCGATCACTTTGTGTACGTTGCACATCACGTCGAATCTGTGCTTCTGAGATTTTCAGTTATGTCACGTTGGTCGTGTGATCCAGTTTTGAGGGGTCAGTGTTATTGTGCGAAAATGTGTGGACGAGGGGGAAGGGTGGGATCGCGAACGCAGAGGAGATGAACAGCTTGGGTCAAACGGTGGGCACATAATTCGGGGGTCAAATGTTTAATCCGTATGGCTTCGGTTATGGCCAACGTACGCAGTCTAACATATTAAGACCGGTTCGGGAATCTGATAAATAATGCAGAGTGCTTCACTTGGCTTAAAACGATGACCAGTGTCTACTGAGTGGGCGCGAATCACACCTTGACTCAGCCAACTCGAACGATGCCCTTTCATGCGGATAGATAAATGCAGTGCCGTACGTTCGACGTAGAGTGCGTCAAAAATGCATGTCAACGAGTAAACAGCCATTGAAGCGGTCATCATCGGTAGTTTATCTTCACTCCGTATGGGTATCAGTAACAGACTTTTGAAGGGGTAGCGTAGGTGTGCGACGTTGAATACGGCATTTACCCCTTCATTCAGTCGTCTTATGAGGGTTTTGGTGGCAACTTCGCCTTTAAAAAGGAGACTAACGAACAAGACCTTTTCCACACTATCAGCATGTACCGTTGGTACCTTATCATCACATTTCGTCGAATGAAACGGTCTAGGTAGCCATTGCTTCTAGGCACAACAGAGATAAATGAGTTCATTTTCCAACGCTTCTTGTAAACAGATTCTCCGAGCCCTAGATACCAAACATTTTATTAGATTCCTCCTCAGCTTATTCGGTACATAACTGAGAAAATTCGTCTATCGACCACTCTATGTTTTCTTACGGAACAGATCCATCTTTTCATGAGAAGTACAGCTGGGTATGGTATTCGATCATCTATGCCTACCTCATTTGCAAATTTTACAGCCTCGTGTGCGGAGGTGAACATTTCTAGTGATAGATCCAGTGGGGAGTTCGAATAAACTGTGCAAAATGTTTTCCGCAAATCGACAATAACAATGAAGACTTTTGATGATGAATTCGTGCAAATGAGGCGAGAGCTGAAAAGTACCGGACAGCTGTTTCGACCTGGTTGGGTTTCATCAGCTGTGCGAATCCATCGACCCAACTGGGGACTGAACCCGGGACCGCACGGATAGAAAGCAAGCATACTAGCCACTCGACCACTGGGCAGCTGACCAGACCGTTTCTCATTTTGGATTTACACAATATAGTACAGCCCGTCTATGCGACGAATTTATCATCAAAACAAATTAAACTCTCCATTTGTCCCATGAATTATGAAGACTATTATTGATGCTTTTCAATTAAATGTTCTGCAGCATAACCATGAAAAATCTGACCAAAGGGGTCCCAGTGATGATCCCGTTCCTAATCCGTCCTTTTGTCGGTAGGTCGTTTCGTGAAAAAGAAACTGAAAGTTGTATGTACACCGAAATAGGAATAGATGTGCACAACGCGGTGTTGAAGTGATCCAATCAAGAACAACGTAGACTACAGCAGCATTGACCAACCTACCATCATGATTTGGCACAGAGGTATCAAGAAGTTAACCTCATGGTTGTCTTCGGTTGGTGCAGTTCGCATTCTAGACTGGAGACAAACAGAAAATTAGACGCCAAGTCATACGGCTCTGAATAGAAGTCAGTGGCGCGATTGTTGTACGAATTGTTTGTGGTAACCTCGTTCTGTATAATAGACAAAAGCATCAAAATATGTGCTGCAAAATTAACAAGAAATTGTTCATTCTGTTTTCCTGTTGTCCGTTATCTGTCCCCCCTATTTTCACATCACATATCTGTACCTTATCCCAACATACGTATTATCACTGCTGTTACGTTGGCATCATGCATGTCCTCAGGTCGATGTGAATGAAATATTTGTACTCCGTACACCCAATAACAGACATTTGAATTGTTTTCGAACTCAGTTTTCCAACGAATATGGTTATCAGTCACGTATGCACGATGTAGTCTGAATCACAATTTGTGCCTTATCTTTGTGAAACCACTGAAACCAAACACGTCCTCGATCACATTGGATGCCATGTACTCAGCTCTGTAATCGACCTCTTTCTATGTACCTTGCAGTCTCAAGCACATTTTGAGCACGACTAAGCATTGGTCCAAGACGTGTCCGTCTTTGAAAGAATTGACACTGCAGTTGTTGTTGGTTGTGTATTTCGCGAAACGCTGTAGTTCCCTACAGTGTACCGTAATGCGTCTCCTGTTTCCGCCTGAGCCCGAGACATTGGGACAGGTAACGGCAATTTCAACTCTCGCAACCACGTTCATGCTAGTGAGAACCATCCAAAACGCTTTATATATGCACAGCCGTCAAAAGAACACAGCCCCAATAGGGTAGGACGCCACACCATCTATACGACAGACAATAAACCATCCGCAAGAAAACAGACCGTACAAGCATTTAGTTTAATTAAAAGTGTATGGTATCACATGACGAAGATAGAAAGACTGAATCTCGGAAGCTAACCCTCAACCTGGGCTCTCCTCCAACAAAACAAACATCAAATATTTTGGTTCACAACTTCAACTGTCTGTGATTACCCAACCCGATGATTGAGAATAATAGGACGCGAGCCTAATATCATAAGCAATTCTTCTGGTCAGATGACTCCGTTTACGGTGTGTGTAGGTGTATGAACGAACGG